CCGCCGCGGCAACCGACGACGAGCGCTCCTCGCCGTGTCCTCGTCCGTCGCGGTGATTATCTCCCTCTATCTTGAATTCTTTCTTCTTCTTTCTCCTCCACCTCCTCTTCTTCTTCCGCCGCCTCTTCTCCGCGTCTCGCGTTCTATCTTCTCGGTTAATCCGATCCCCGCCGTTCCCGGTTATAGCGCGACTTCGGTAGTCGCATAATAAGAGTTTTTCCGCGCGGGCGAGCGCGCGCGCGCACGTATCGCGAGACGTATCCGATATGATATATGTACCACTCACAAACGCGCGGGCGACAATCCCGATATCGATCGCGATTATCGATCGCCGCCGCGCTACGCACCGACCGCCGCGATATCACCGCGTCGACGCGACGGCACGGATCAACGATTCAACGCGCGATCCACGACGACCACGACGTGATCGGTGATGGTCGTGACGGGAGGGGGGAGGGACGGACACAGCGGGATTTATCTCGCGATCGACCGCGGAACGGCTTCGCTCTTACGATCAGCGATATATCGATGGAAGCAAAGATACGACACGCGACTTCGCGCCTATACGGCAGCGTACGACTCGTCCGCGAGAGTTACTTTTCACTGAAGCACCATTCCTTCGCGTATAGAAACACCATATCGCGTACCGTCTGGACTCCTTGGTTCCCTCCTTATCCTCTCGCCGCGTTCTCGCACTCTCTCTCTCTCTCTCTCTCTCTCACTCACTCCGTCCTATTCGCGCGCGGCTAGTCCCTCTCTCTCGCTCTCTTTATCTCCCGCTCCGTATCTATCTCGCTCCCTCGCTCCTCCTCTCCTTCTTACACCCAGTCTGCCCCACCTCGTCCCCTTCGCACTACTACTCAGCGCTCTCGATCTCCGTCGCGTACACCGCAGTCACTTCCTCTACTCTTTCACTCTGTTCCGTAGCCACGACGACTGGCTGACTCTTTTTTGCACGCGAGACAACTACTACGGCGAATATGTACGAGTAAATACGGGGTCGCTTACGAGTCGCGGCTCCGCGCTCTTCTTCCGGTGGACGATAGGGTACCACAGACCACACAGACGTCGGGCACCACTGCACCACACAGACTTACGATGCGTGCGTAATGTACGCGTGCCGAAAGGGGCGACAGCGTTGAACGACAGCGCACAGTGCCTTGTTCACGTGTCGACGTCGTGATGTCGTTCTCGCTCGTCTTTCTCGTCGACGTCGTTCTCTTCGTTGTTGTTGTCGTCGTCGTTGCCTTTGCTGCTGTTGCTGCTGCTGCTGGTTAAACGCCCGTCGTCGACGTGTATCGTGTCGGGGTCACTTAACGTGGACCGCCCGCAGAGCGGAACATCACCTACTGTGAACCGGTGCGCTACCAGCCGCGGACTGTTGTTCCGCCTACCCGCACGCAGATGTCGTGTCGTCGTCCCGTGGAGCACAGGCGGAGCGAGCTGCGCTCGTCGCGGCCGCTCATTGGCTCGCGCGGCACGAAACCGTCCCACGTGACTGCACCGGCGAATATCGATTCGGGTTGCGCTGCGGCGGCATTTTTAAGTTTTCGTTGCGTGGTGGGAGGGCAGGAGGAGCCGGGGGTGAGGGTGAGACACACGGTGCGCACCCCGGACCACATCGCACATCGCGCGTGATACTACCTCGCTTGCCGAAATCCCGGAATGCCGCTGCCGATTCGCGCTCGATGTACTAAAAATAATACTAAATCCTCTCTCTCTCTCTCTTTTTCTTTCTCTCTCTCTCTCTCTCTCTCTCTCTCTCTCTCGACGCGATCGCTCATGTTAATATCTCTGCACTCTTTCTCTCTCTTTTTCTTTTGCTTGATTTTTTTTTATTTTTTCCGTCTCTTTCGATAGGACCCAACGTCGCTAAGTGCGACGGTTTTCGTCTTCGCAGACCTTTTGAAAGTTCAAGAATTAAGACGCAATAATTCTTATCCGTCTTTTATTTCGATCTGCCAGTATAATGGATTCAGTCGATTTCTCTTTTTCTATAGTTATGCGTTTACAGACAATTTTTTTCGTATCTTGCAAGAAAGCTTTGAATGTCAGAAGGCAAACAGCGTCTCGATCGGTTAGCTAAGACACCGGTGACACTTTATATTTGAAGAAATAACCGTCAATATTTATTAGGGCTCTGGCACACAAAAAACTTCAGGCAGTAAGACGTAAGCAGTAAGGAAATCAACATGTTGGATTCGCTACTGCTTATGTTATGGCCTTATGGACTCTACTGTGATTGGTCAATTCGCTTACTGCTTACATTTTACTGCTTAAGTTTTTTTGTGTGCCATGGCCCTTAAGATGTGTACAATATGTATCCTGGGAAATTATTTCGAAATATACGACGCGATACACAGTAAATTCTGTGATAAACGGACATGTTACGAGCTACGTATATGTACAATGATTAAGATATATAAGTCATAATATTATTTGTTAGAAATGTCTGTAAAAATGAATGCCCATTCACTTTTGGACACAAATTTCGACAAGATATTTAAACAGTGCCGTTTCACAACGACTTACGAGACAGTTTGTGTGCTAATTAATGGAATTGCAGGATTGTGCTGGAAATTCGGTACGTCATAATGTATTTGACATTTCGATCGATCCGAGACGTAACGAACGTGAAGAATATTATAATCACGTAATTTTCTCAATACAACTTCTTATATTATTATTGACTAGAACAGTTTATATTCTATATAAATAAACGAGTATTACATCAGTTTTTTATCAACCAATTTTTGAAGAAAATTTTTACGATATTTAAGGCCGACTACATACGTTCAAGCAAATTTATCAAATGCTTGCGTAAGCTGCTTGTACAAATTTATTTGAACATGTGTGTCGGAAAAGTCATTTGTGCGAGCCAAAATAACTGCAGTTTTCTGACACACACGTTCAAACAAATTTGCACAAGCAGTTTGCGCAAGCATATTATTGATAAATTTGCTTGAATACGTGTGCCTAAGGCCTAATTCATTCCCTAATAGTACACTTTATCCGTGGGTCATTCCAGCGAACGTTTTTAGGACATAGGGATATCCTCTGAATGTTCTTTGGAACGTTTCTTGGAGATCTGTCCTATTAGGGATTATTTATAGTCCATTCTTATTTCTTATTTTAAAACCGTCTTAAATAATATCCCAGACAACAATAAAGTGTCTAAAATTGGGTTATAAGACATTTTTTGCATCTAAAAGACGACTTAAAGACGTACGTCTTATGTCACAATTTTAGACTTTGTGTTGTTTGGGATCTTAAGATGTTAATACAAAATTTGTTCTTGCACTGTTTGTACTTAGCATCTTCGCTTTTTCTCTCTTCAACGAATATATATTTATTTTATTCTAAGTGTAAAAATTTTTAAAGATTTTAAGAAAAGCGAATAGACCTACAGATTCTGTGATCGGTTTGTGATATTTTAAAACTCTACTTAAGATAGTCTTGAATATAAGAATCGACTATGTATACTGGCCTAAAAGATATGATAGATACAGGACATCTCCTAATTTTGAACATACGTGCTATGACCTGAGTAGCTTTAAGACCATCACAAAAAAATTTTAGGGTCATGGCACACAAAACTTAAGCAATAAAACTAAAGTAATAAGCGAATCATATTTGAGATCGTAATAATGTAAGCACCACATAAGACTCAATATTTTTTAGAATGTTATACGAATATTAAAAATAGTAAATAATATACACGTAACATTCTAGGAATATTGTGTACTTATAGGACAGCAGCAAATTTAACATGTTAATTTCCTTATTGCTTACTATTTAAGCTTTTCCGTATGCCTTTAATCATAATCGTAAGATATCGGCTAATTATGATCGTATTCTAAAACGTAAGACCGAAATAGTTTTGACTGTAAAGCTCATTCTACAATTACGTAAGAAAAGTTGTAAGTGGTTGTAGTTGTAAGACTTAACCAATCACAATTAAATATGAGGAAAATATTCGACTGTCATTAGTCAATTCTTACAACTACAACCACTTACAACTACGCTTACGCAATTGTAAAATGGGCTTAATATCGTTAATTTGCTTACGGCTTTACGGTTACGACTAAAATTTTTTATATATAATGGCCTTTTTATTGAAAGACAAAAACGGTGTTAATTTTAATCGACATGTTTGAACAGAACTTTCGAGAAAGCACGCAATTTGCGCGAATCAAGAAATTTTACGGGTGCGAGTGAGTGAGAGATATTTTAATTTATTCTCCAGATGCTCATTCGATCGATGCATCAGCAGCGGCTTGCACATATTCATTATGCAAAACAATTGCAAATACAACGGGGCTGTTTCACTTATATTCTCGCGCGCGGATAAATCGGATAATTTCTTATTAATCTAACATTAAAGAGGAAATCATTTGCATGTTACGTCAATAATAAAGAATATGCACATATTCATTTTTATTAATTATACTGTCCTAAAGGACTAACAATTTTTCTTATGAACGTAATGTTAAAAGTATCCAATTGCAACTAGTAAGATAATAATGATATAATAGCAATAATAATAATTCTGTGAAAACTGTAAAAAAGGATGATGGATACGAAAGTTAAAAGCACATGTAAAAAACGATACGACAGCAAGAATGCCATTGCGAAATCTGTTGAATAAGTAATAAAGTATAAATCTTTCTATAGTTGTATTTTCTACGTTAACGGTAGTGAAACAAAAAATGCGTATTCTGATATTCTATATTCATAAAACCATTTCTTAAGTTATTTTAATTTATTATATTCATTAAAAAAGATATACGATATAAATATATACATTTTTATAACTTAAGAAGAATTATAAAGAATTATTTATTATCTGCATATAGCATTCTCTTGAAAATACCTGTGTATACCTAGATATGAAAGAATATCATCGCTTATTTGATATTTTATTGAACGTATTCTTTATCTTCTCTTTGCATGGATATCTGTTGCTACCTATATAGCGCCTCATCGTCGGTGAATTTCGAAATCGTTACTTTCGCAAGTAACAGCAATAATAATAGGTCATAAGTATAAATCAATATCTTTCTTCACGCATAAATAAGATAATACGTTTTAAATAGTGGAATTTTCTGATAGTCGATAAATTCCATCATAAATTCTTTAGATTATTAACATTTTTTTAAATTCGAGCATGTTATATTGAATTTTATATGTGAACATAATTTCGGAAATGAATCAGGACATAAAAATGGCAAAAAATTATATAAACGTTTGTTCTATTTGATTTTATTTTTAAGTTATAGTTTTTATGTTTCATTATAATTATTATTTCGTTATAATAATTATAATATAGTTTCATTATAAAAAATTGTTATTAAAATTATTATATTTCGCGTTATAAATCAAGCTTGCATAGCGTTTTCGCGTGAAGATCATGCGTCTTTGTGTCTTAAGTCCGTTCTATAATTGTGTAAACGTAGTCGTAAATGGTTGTAGTTGTAAGAATTGACCAACCACAGTAGAATATTCTCCTCATTCGATGTAATTGGTTAATTCTTACTACTACAATCACAACTACGCTTACGCAACTGTAGAATTGACTTTACTGACTATTAGTAAGCACTTTTTTTTAGATAGAAATATGTGAAGAATGTTAGTTCAGTTTGACCAACGAAAATTATTGAAGAAAGACGAAAACTTCTGTAACTCAAAATCAAAATTAGATTAAAGTATATATAATGTTTAAATAAACTTTTTGTGTTATATTTTTGTATTCTGAATTTATTTCTAAAACAATGCCCACATGTTACAATAATATACTTATATGTGTATTCGCTCAGTTCGAATTTGTATTCAAGCAAGACAATACACTGAGGCGCGAATCTTTGAACATTATCTGAATTGATTATATGTATACAATATAACTTGGGTTGAGAAAAGTTCATTTATTTGAATTTTATGTGAATTTAAAGCTTTGCTATATATTTATATATTTTAAATAATACGTAAAAAATACACAGTGGAGTAGAAATCAATTCAAACAGGAGTGAAGGCAATACTTGTTTGGTACATACATGTGGACTCCTATTTATTTATAATCATATGTATAATAATATTACAACGTCGTAACTGTATAACAGTAAACAAGATTGAATATGCTCGATTGAAATATTTCGTGAATATGCCACTAAAACTGGCAAGTTGAGAATATGTACACAATATAGGATGCCGCTTTATTGCCTCTAAGGGAGATATGTAATTGACTAAAAAGAAAAAAAGAGAAATAATAGCGATATTAATTACAACACAGGGAGCAGGAAGTAGGTACACACAGCAGTATTACAGTGGCAGCTGGCGACATTATCTTAACTATTATCACAGATTAATACAGACAGCTTCTGTCATAGCTGGACATGACCGATATCGTTATTATTATTTTATCATCTTGCTATCTACCCTTCTGCAATAAATATTTAATCGTGTGTATGCGTGTACATGTGTGTCTGTTCATCGCAAATGCATGAACAATTTAAAATACTTGCGTATTTATATATTCGAGTATATAAAATTCGGACGTTTACAAGCTTTTCATCTTTCCCTCGTTACAGAACTATTGAGAGACATACACAAAATTAAAAAAATGAGA